GCAAAATTGAGCAAAAACAAGCAATATTATGTCTAAAATATAAGTCACTTACTGATTTACTGAACTTGTATAAAATGATTATTAAATGTGTTATGCTGATATCTGCAGAAAAACGGTACGCTTTGCGTGATATAGATTAAGTTAACTATATTAAATTATATAAATATAAAAAGCATACAGAAGCATTTTTTGCTGTATACAATTTAGAATACCTGGAATTTTGAGTATCAATAGACTAATAAATCAACGTGCGTGCACTCTGTGTGTGAGATTTGGTGATATACTTGATAATGTCAGATCGCACATCATTACAACAACACTTACCATATTATCGCAGAAGATATACTGTATATCACACACCCCAGACTCAACTTGAGAGGAAAATGAATCATCTGCGGTTGTGCGCGCACTTGTTTGCCCGTGAGCAAAGGTGTTTTTTAGGAGTCTAACTTGCAGACGCCAGACACTGATTCGTCAAACCTGCTTTCATGCAGTCCGTGTTCTAATGACTTCTGACTATTTTGTAGTAAGCAACGAATATGCTTCGGGGAGATGTATCGGAGTAAAAGTATACATTTTAATTAGGAAATGTAGTGGAGTAAAAGTAAAAGTTGGCTGAAATATAAAAACTCAAGTAAAGTACAGATACTTCCAAAAAATACTTAAGTACTGTAACGAAGTATTATCACTTCGTTACAGTACACCACTGATTTTAACTTACATCAAATAATGATTTGTTTGAACATTATCTAATGTTTAATAAGTTTATTAGCAAACATTAACAAGCACATTATCTCACATTTCTAACTCTTTGAACTAGTGATTCATTAAGCATTATATAATGTTTGTTAATGATTTTATTAATGAAAGTTATTATAAAGTGTTACCAAATAAAGATATTGTCTCTCAAAAGAAAGAGTTGAATCTGAACCGCCTTAATGAGTCGTCATATTTTCTAATCTTCTGCCTGTTACCTATATAGACACAAGGTAAATATTTGCATAATCCCCTCCTGCCCGAGAAATATGAACACTGATTTGCCCACAAACACTTCTGCTTGATCATGTCGAGAAGATGCTGTGTTTTCAGCCTCACTGGGCATTCCCACAGTTCCCACATGTGCACCTCAAATAAGTAAATATTAATAATAATGAATGCAGTAAAACTGCTGTCATATCACGTAAAGTACCACATACAAAGTTTAAACTTACCACTGAGAAACGTCCTGATCAAGTCGTGCTTGCGATGGAGTTTCCGGTTGAGTGACTGCATCGGTATCATCCTCGGACTCGGGCTCGAATTGATAAGGTAATATCGATGCCATTTTTGTAACCTTATAGCATCTTTGTTTACAAGTAACCCTCCGGAGCAAAAATAATAATTATGGTAATAGCGTTTCATTTCCGGCTCTGTGTATACAGAAAGACCAATCACAACAGACTTGGCCAACTGACCAATCAGAGCAGAGTAGGCTTATAGAAGAGAGGAGTTTACAGACCTTAAGAAATCATTGAAAAATTATTCTAATATTAAATGTATATTCTGAGAAAAATACGTTTTCTGACCTTAGATGCATTTAAACCTGTTGTAGGGGACTCCAACACAATATTAGAACACTTTAAAATACCATATGTCCTGCTCTTTAATTAACTGTTTAAAATACGTATTTAATTACTTTTGAGCATTTTGTAATTTGTATTTTGCTGGACAAAAAAAATCTAATGTAATTTGTAATTAAATACTTTGAGAGACAGTGTTTTGTATTTGAAATACTTAAAAAACATAATCAAGTAGGTCATTTTATTCTAAGATAATATAATATCTTTCTTCACCTGTGTTAATAGTACTATCAACAATAGCCTATACAGTTTTTGGCTTTTGTCGATTAATCACATTAGCCGTCATGCGCTCGCATTACTATGGAGTGTGTGCAAGAGCATGAGTAATAAGTTGCTGGCCACAACTCACTTAATGGTCACTGGTGTTGCTAATAAGGGTTTCTGAATACTAAAATTATATAGAGCCCTTCAACAGCTAAATATCAGCATTTTTAGGAGTTCATCTTTACTGTTGACAGTGAAATAGCTTGAGCCATCCTCTTGAGTAGGACTAGGCGTTATGGCAATACAGTTTTGCAGGACTGCTTAATTTTTGACACACTGATAAAGAAACTATAAAGGAGCGATACAGAAACATGAAAAAATGAAGCGTAGACATGTTTGATGGTATTCAAGTAAGGCAAGTCGGTTGTGTCTTAAGTGAACATAAGAAATGAGAAGAAATATGGATCAGTATATATTGGATTTATTGTCTAGTGTTGGGGTTAAAGAATATGTTGTCTATAAGTTGTTTAAAGGAGGGGAAAGCACTTCTCTTTCTCTTATGTCTGTATGTAACTCCAGTATTACTAAATGTAATGACACTTTCTCTTGCACTTCAAATGATTGCTTGTAAATATTGTTTGTATTCTTGTATTTTCAAATTACTTGTATTTTAGTTGAATACATTTCTCACACCAGTATTCAGTATTTTAATTAAATACATTTGATGAGCAAGTATTTGTAATTTGTAACAAAATACTTTTTTATGTATTTGTGCCCATCTCTGTTTGTAGCTTATATATAGGTATGTATATGTATATGTACTGCCCCAGTGACAGCTTTGTACCCTTTTTCTGAGAGTGCATGACTCAGATTTCATATATATTTTAACACTTTTAAAAAAGTATGTTGTATAGCATCAGAAATATCTTAATTTAGGCAAGGACAAATTACCTGATGAATCTTATTGGATAAGTAAAGTAAAAAATCATATTTATAGATTAAGGCCTATAATTATGTACATCGATGAGCCATTACATTATGACCACCCCCAGTCTAGAGCAATCAGAGCGCCTGGCAACCAAATGGTGTCGAATGTGCAGTTCACAGAGCAGTATATATACCACCGGAGGACCGGCTTTCGGTCAGTAGAGTGTTTGGTGTCAGAATGGGAAAGGCTGCCGATTTATCGGAGTTTGATAAAGGACAAATTGTGATGGCATGGCACCATGGAACTTTGATCTCTGAAATGACGCGCCTTGTGGGTTGTACACATGCCGCTGTAGAGAGTATGTATCAAAAGTGGTGCACGGATGGCCAAATGACAAACCATCGTCCAGCTATGTGTTGTCCACAGCTGATTGATGCCAGAGGAGAGCGGAGACTGTCATGCATCGTTCACAGAGACTGCAGGGCCACATTGTGACAAATCACCAGCAGTTACATCAGTGGTGACCAGGGCAATGTGTCACAGCACACAGTTCATTACAGCCTTCTGGGTATGGGCCTGTGAATCCGACCACCCAGTCAGGTCCCCATGCTAACAGCATGCCATCGCCAACAACACATGAAATGGGCCAAAAATCATTGAAATTGGACCATGGATGATTGGAAGAAAGTGGCCTGGTCTGACAAATCATGATTCCTGGTGTATCACGTCGACAGCCGAGCTCGAATATGCTGATTACCAACAGAGGCTATGGCACCTGCATGCACTATTGGGCGGACACAGGCCGGTTATGCTGTGGGCAATGTTTTCTTGGAACACTTTAGGCCTCATTATCCCAAATAACACAATCCCTGACAGCTGTCAGGTATCTGAACATCGTTGCAGACCAAGTGCACCCATTCTTGGAAACTGTGTTCCCTGCCAGTGATGGCCATTACCAACAGATAATGCGCCATGCCACACTGCCAGAATTGTCATGAAGTGGTTTGAGGAACATGATGGTGAATTTCTGTTAATTCCTTGGCCTCCAAATTCACCCATTCCATCATTTGTGGTTCGACTTGGAAAAGTGGGTTCGTGCTACACCACCACCCTGCAATGTATGGGAACTGGAGGAACTGCTGTTGACATTATGGTACCCCAGTAGACCTATCTCCATCTCGTCTGAATTAATACCTCGCCACGTAGCCACTGTTTTGTGGGCTAAAGGAGGACCAACAGGTTATTAGATAGGTGGTCATAATGTAATGGCTCATCAGCGTATCTAAATATCTATGTATTCACATGTATATATATACTTTACATATTCATAGTTATATGTATTCAAATTTACATTTTCATACTTATAAATTTATATTAATATTTACATTTATACAGTATATTCAGAACAATATCTATATATATTTTTAAATGTACATATATAAATTCAAAGTTGTAACAACAAATTCAGATTTACTGAAATTGTGAACATTCCATTCTACCATTTAAAATTTTCTAAAATATGAAAAATATCTACCAAATGAATGTTTCCTTTATCTTTTTCTGGGAAATTCACAACTGAATCACACTAATAGGTCACTCATTGAACTTGAGTTGTTGAAGGAAACCAATGGTCCTGGACTTTGATTTCAGATGTTTCAATAGAATCTTCACGCTAAATTAAGTATTAACTTCCCTCCTGCTCTCTTGCCTTTGAAAGGGTTTGCACACATGACTTTAATCTGAGATTTTTTTCAGAGGTTGTTATGGTAGTTTTGAACATGCTTCTGGCTTCTTACAAGTGTGCATCTTAAATACTAACGTTCATTATTTTAATAAAGACATAATAAAGACAGAAAACATTAAATTAATACATTACAGAGTACAAGATATATACCATGGCAAAAAATATGAATGTTATTAAATAAAATATCTTTGCTTGTCCCAGACAAAAATATATTTTTTTACTTACAAGAAAATCAAAGCTTACCAAATAATAAGACCAAAATATAACAGAAAAAAAAAACTAATTTTTGGAGTTTGGTAGATGAAAGGCATCTTAAAAATAGCACAGAAAAAGGCTTTGCATTGATTTGATCATAATGCATCAGAAGACTTTACAGGAAACATACAACAAAGCGGACTAGAACTTAATATTATTAGTTGAAACTATTACTCTGTAATATGTCAAAGGTACAAAGGTAGAACTTGCAGTAAATATTGTCAAATGTACAGTAAAAACAGTCAGGCATGTTTTAAATTAGATACTGTAGCAGCTAAGAAAGATCTGTCATGACTACAAGTGAACTATCAGTTTTGGTCTTGGGTTTAAAATGAAAGTCAAAAATATTTTCTATTCTACTGCCATCAAATCAAAAACAGTAGGCAGCTGTAAGGAAGTTTTTGTTGAGTATATTATAAGGAAGTATTGAGTGTTTCAAGAGGAACTTTTGTAACTTCTTACAATCAGATTACTCACATTTAGCTTGTTGTTACAGATAAGGCAACATTTCTGTCCACACAATACAGCTCTAATATCCTTAATAGATTTAGTTGATACTGATGTGATCTTTAACCAAAGAAACCATGGAAGAAGATGCAGACAGTGAGGAGGATAATAGCATTAGCGTTGACCACGTTTCTCCATAGAGGTTTCTCAGTGGTGTCTGTGAGTTTCATCTTCAACTCTGCCTCCTGTTCTTTAGTCAGTTTAGGTGCATTGCCTTGATCAAAGCCGCAGAACCAGTTGTAGGCCTTCTTCCAACAGCTTGGATCCTCACGCACCTCTGCAAGGTCGAGAGACAAGCGGAAAGTTGTTACTTGTTTTTAATGTTTTTAAAATACTTTATGTGTGCAATAATTTACACAAGTAAGGCATGTGCCTGAATCGGCATCCTTTGGTTTTCCTAGAACAGGGGTGTCACACTCAATTCCTGGAGGGCCGGAGCCCTGCAGAGTTTAGATTCAACCCTAATTAAACACACCTGATCCAACTAATCAAGTCCTTCAGGCTTATTAGAAAACTACATGGTATGTGTGTTGGAGCTGGGTTGGAACAAAACTCTGCAGGGCTCCGGCCCTCCAGGAATTGAGTTTGAGACCCCTGTCCTAGAACTACAATCTATTCAACTAATTATGGCCCTAACCTAGTCTCAGCGTCACACGGCACACTCACAGTCCATTCACTGAGCCCTGTGATGCTTATTGCAAACAAAAATGGAGAGTGCTATCTGATGGTACATATTTGGTGGATCGTGCAGATGTACCTTCTGTTTGCATAGAGTCTGAATCCTGATCTTCAGTCCAGTCATCTTCTTCCAGATCAATCCTCTCCTCAGTGCTGTTCCTCAAACTCCAGCAGAGCCTGTACAGCTGTAAAACAACAAGGGGCCACAGAATGAGGGGTCATGACAGAGAAATTGCTTTTCTATCTAAATCTCTGTTTTTCAATAATGTTATGTTGATAAATCTACATATATAGGCCCTACGACCATTCAAAAGATTGGGGTTGTAAAATACGGCTGTAGTGCATACATTTTCATAAGTTTTCTATTTTAACATATATTAAAATGTAATTTATTCCTGTGATGCAAAGCTGATTTTTCAGCATCATTACTCCAGTCTTCAGTGTCACATGATCCTTCAGAAATCATTATGCTGATTTGCTGATCAAGATTTGTTATTATGAATGTTGAAAACAGTTTTTGTTGTTTGATATTTTTGTGGAAACCATGATACACTGCCGTTCAAAAGATTTTCTTTAAAAAAAAATAATGTTTATTCAGCAAGGAAGCATTAATTTGTTCAAAAGTGACAGAAAATACTTTTTTTTCACCATTTCAAATAAATGTTGTTCATTTAACTTCTGTTCAACAAAGAATAAAAAATGTTTGGAAACAAAGAAAAAAAAAGATGGTTTCCACAAAAATGTTTTCGACATTGAAAATAAGAATCATTAATAATTGAGCATCAGTAATAGTTGATAATAATTGAGCAGCAAATCAGCATATTAGAATGATTTCTGAAGGATCATGTGACACTGAAGAGTAATGATGCTGAACATTCAGCTTTGCATTTTAAAATATGTTCAAATAGAAAAGAGTTATTTTAAATTGTAATAATATTTCACAATATTACTGTTTTTACTGTATTTTAGATCAAATGCAGTCTTGAGCATAAGAGACTTCTTTCAAAAGCATTAAAAAAATCATAAGTATTCTGAACTTTATAGTTTAGTTGTAAGAAGAGCTTACATGTTTGTCATCAATGGGTTTGGTCATGAGGGAGATGCCCAGTATCAATATACAGGACAGGCTGAAGAGGATGAGGGCGAAATAGAGGTAGTGCACACCACAGATGATCGTGGGACAGTTACTGGGACTCACGCAGCTGCCTGTGCCGTAGGCAAACTCAGTTATCATACGTGCCAGACCCACCAACAGACCAATACACAACCCGTAGAAAGCACCCTGTGAGGACACATCAACAACGTGCTTTAAAATCTCAACACCCATTCACTGCAATTATAAAGCTTGGAAGAGCCAGGACATTTTTAATGTAACTCTGATTGTATTCGTCTGAAAGAAGAAAGTCATGTACATCTAGGATGGCTTGAGGGTGAGTAAATCATGGGGTCATTTTAATTTTTGGGTGAACTATCACTTTAAGAATATGAACCATGGTTTTACTACAAATAAAACCAAAAAACCATGGTTATTGCAGTTAACCACAAATTAACCATGGTTTTGCTGCACTAACCATAGTTTAACCATTTGTAGTTAAACTGTGATTATACAAATGGTAATCAATCCGGCAAAAATCATATTTACTACACATTTACTGTAATAAAACCATGGTTAATTTAGTTGCTAGCATGTTTTAACACATTGTTAACATGTTTTGGTAACACTTTACAATGAGGTTTATTAGTTAACATTAGTTAACTACTTTAGTTAACATGAACTAAGCATGAACAATACTTCTACAGCATTTATTAATATTACTAATGCATTATTAAAATCAAAAGTTGTGCTTGTTAACATTAGTTAATGCACTGTGAATTAACATGAACTAACAATGAACGACTGTATTTTCATTAATTAACATTACCAAAGATTAATAAATACAGTAATAAATGTATTGTTCATTGTTTGTTCATGTTAGTTAATACATTAACTAACATTAACTAATGGAACCTTATTGTAAAGTTTTACCTATGTTTTAACAATAGGTAGATGCAACATTCAACTACTCCAGACATGTCGATGCATCCGCCATCTTGGAACTGTCAACGTGTCGTCACTCACGGTAAAAATCAGTGAGTTTTCCAAGATTGTGCAGCCTCTGGTTGTAAAAACCTCAGAAATTTAAATTCTCGAAGAAATGGCATAACCTGCATGTGAGAATGTGTTGGTTTTTAAACTATGGTAAATTTTTGATGTTGTGTCAGCTAATGCCTTCATCTTGTTGTGTTGTGTTAGTTTAGCAAAATCTTCTGCTGAAGTCTGTTGTAGATATAGATATTCATACATGCGTATAACTATACGGTTGCAGATCCACAGTCAACTTGCTCTTGAGTGTTCATGAACCGGCTTTGACTGTTCCAATATGGCGGACAGCTTGCATACATACAGCGGCCCATAGAAACAGCCAATAATGAGGTATCAATGCATATATATATGGTTTTCACACACTGTTAGCAGGTTTTAGCACATTGCTAGCATATTTCTATCATGTTTTAGCACATTGTCAAGCAACATAATAATCATCAGCAAAATTTTGATTGTGTGTGAAATATATGTTTTATACAATTTAAAAAATTCAAACTAGCAAAATGGAAACAAAATTATTGCAAAGCTACGAAATGTTTAGATTTAACTCACTGGTTCATTGACTCGCTTGCAGAAAATGGCGAGGGTGAAGACAGCAGCAATGGGTGGAGCCAGATAGCTGGTGATGGACTGAATGTAGTCGAAGAGCTGCCCAAAAAAAAAAAAAAAAAAAAAAATTAGTTGACTAATAGTCTTTCACTGTTCACTGACCTTCTGATGCATGATGCATTCAAAAAATGTCACACAAATTGCTGCACATTACTTTTGGATTGTCAGAATTTCTTACCACAAAATCCACATACCATTTTGGCCTTGTAACACTCCAAAGAGAAAGGAAAACTTGAAATCGCATCATATGACCCCTTTAATTTCGCTAAATTATTCAGCTCTGTAATTGTTATGGTATTATGAATGTCAGATTTACCCTCCCTGAAATGTCATATGAAACCAGTGTTATTTTGGTATTATTTGTATACTATTTGTTAGTATTTTAAATAAAAATGTATTTATATATTTGCAGTTCTCATTTTAAGTTTTTTTTTTGTATTTTTGTTATGAGTTTGTCTTTTTTTTTTCTTCTTCTTTTTTTTATTTTATTTGATTATTATTTTTAATGTCTAATATGCAGAATTATTATTTTATGTCTGCTGTTCAACACAATTAAAAATATATAGAATTATTTATTAGAAGAATAAAAACATACCATACATTATTATTATTATTATTATTATTATTAAGGTACAATATTAATAAAATATTAAAGAACCAACTGAAACATGGGAATCAATGTTACTTTAACATTATTTATATACTATTATAGTATTTACTAGTATTTTGAATTAGCACTTATTTTTATATTTGAATTTTAATTTAAGTTTTAGTCTTGTTATGTGCTTTGTAATTTTTTTTATTATTTTTATACTTCTATTTATTTTGTAGTAATTTTAGTATTTAAAATTAAACATTTCTATTTTCATTTTTATTTACGTTTAAGTTTTTGTTTAATTTTATATTTCAGCTTTATTTCAATAAGCCAAAACAGTTTTTTAGTTTTAGTTAATAGTAACAACACTGCTTCAAACTGGTTGCTTAAAGTGTAAATCAGACTCTCTGTCTGTCTAAGTAGGCCGTTGCTTGTTAAAATAAGTTACTAGCATATTCTGTGAGAAATAAGTGGACCAGACTTTATGCTGATGAGCAAAACTCTAGTTCTGTGAGACTGATCAAACCTTAGTTCACCATATATCACTCAGACAAGATTTAGTCAACATAAATAATCAGTTTATCACCCTTCTCACCCAGGATGGTGCCAGTCTTTCTTACCTGTGTACAGCACTCGGCTGATCATGCCAGGGAAAACCATGAGGAACATTGGCAGAAGTTTGAGGTAACCACACAGGATGCAGCCCGCTTTCACATGAGACAGGTTCTTGGCAGACAGACAGCGCTGCACAATCACCTAAAACAAGATGGAGAGTTTGTGTGATTAACCCAGAGGAACATTTCAGTGCTCACAGCTGATTAGTCCACTTATTGGCTAGATCAGAAGGGCCTTGCATTTAAAGTTTGAGCTTTTATTTATGGTTGTTGTTCAGTTTATATACTTCTGTTCAATAGTTTTTGTTTAAAAAAGCTAACGTTTTTGAAAGAAGTCTCTTTTGCTCACCAAGGCTGCACTAATTTAATCAAAAATACAGTAAAAACAGTAATATTGTGAAATGTTATTACAAAGTAAAATATCTGTTTTCTATTTTAAAATATTTTAAAATGTAATTTATTCCTGTGATGCAAAGTTGAATTTTCTGCATCATTACTTCAGTGTCACAGGATACTTCAGAAATCATTCTAATATGCTGATTTGCTGCTCACATTTATTATAATTATTATCAATGTTGAAAACAGTTGTGCTGCTTCTTATTTTTGTGGAAACCATGATTTGTAGTATTGCAGTACTGTACTGTATTTTTTCCACCACTATATAAACAATTGTTGAGATGCAGGGAAAGTACGTCATGAACTATGATAAACTTTTATGGCTGTTTTTCTGCTGTAGTGCTACATACAGTACAAACAAAGACTATTGATATACTGTTCATAAAAACAAACATCTGAGGATTAGTAGATTTAAATTACATGACTTTTGTTTCTTCACTAAACATTGAACTCTCTTCAAAGATTTTTTTCTTATCACAGAAAGAATATCCCATTACAAGGTATGTGGCATTAATAAACATGTTTATATCTCCTTGCATCTTTTGAAGCTAAAATATTGATCCTTTTTTTTTTTTTGCTAGTGACCTACCTAAATCACTCAGTTACCAAACTATGGCAACCAAACATGGGAGTCTGATAAGATAAACTTGGAGTCTTGCTAATGGGCTGTTAAACTACAGTAACTTAACCAAATCTATATCTGCTTCTCTTTGGCTGTTTGCGTATCTTATCTTATTCAGTGGGGACTTATCTGGGGTCTAACTAAAAGCATGTCTGTTTAAGCTTAGACACACTCTGACTAAAACAAGCAGCACACTGTTTAGACACACTGAGAAACTCAAGAAGAAACTCAAGTGCAGTTTGCGGTCCTAAAGTGGACACAGAAGAGATTTGTAAATGTGTGTGTGTGTGTGTGTGTGTGTGTGAATGTTTGTTCCTTAGCATGTGTTGGACATGTAGACCTCTTATTTTATCAAACATTCTATGTCCAAATTATAAAGCAATACGAGAAAGCAGTCACAACCTATCCAGCTAATGTTCTGGCATTTCCCTCAAAGTTATGAACAAACATTCTTCCAATAACATTAATAGAACATTTGATCAAAGTTATCTGCTCTTTAATAATGATCTTAAAATGTTAGCACAAAAACATTGTTCATGGAACGTTTTTCTGGAACATTTTAGTTGGATATTCGTCAATTTAAAAAAACAATTTTTTTTAATGTTACTACTTGTTTCAGAATGTTCAAAGCAGGGTTATTATAGTTAACTAAAACTAAAACTAAAACCATAAAAAAAAAAAATAAAATTGTTTCTTGAAATAAAATGGTTAATTGAAATAAAATATTTAAAAAAATATTTTAAGCTTCTCATTTTCATTTAATTTAACTCTTAAAATAACTAAAACTAAAACTGAAATAAAAATGTATGAAAACTATATAGACGTTTAAAAACAACAAAAATTGATAAAAATGACAAGAACACACAACAAAATTACTAAAACGTTAAAATTGACATGAAAGCAGAAAAAAAAATTCTAATTCAAAGTATTAACAAAACCTATAATAGTATCTCAATGACACTAAACTGACAGATTCAGAGATCATTCAAAAGTAACATTCCCATAATGTTTGCATAATAATAAAATGGAACGTTTCCCTAAACATTCATATAACCAAGAAAAAAAAACAAAAAAACATGTAAAACATTTAAATGTTCAAAACACACACACACACACACACACACACACACACACACATTTCACTGTAAAACATTTATGAGGATGTTTTGAACATTCAGAGAAACCATTGGCAAAACGTTCTTAGAATATATTTTTGTTAGCTGGGTAAAAAGTTTTAATGCACAAATATTAAGGCCTGTTCACACCAAGAACACTTTAAATGCTCAAGCTCTTTAAAGTCAGGTGGATTCTGCCTGGCTGTCAATATTTTGTTGATCAGCTGAAAAAAAAAAACATTTCTGAAAGTGAATCCAACAATATTATCATCTCAAGTTACTTATGTAACCATGGTTCCCTGAGTAGGGAACGAGACACTGCGTCCTCTAGGGGTCACGGGTCACGACGAGGCGTTCCCCATAGCGACCCCTAGAGGACGCAGTTCGAAGTTCCCATGAAAGGGAATCCTCTGTGTTGTTATCATTAAAGTTATCTTCCTTGGTGTGAACAAACTTTTAGTCAGTAGCCTTGATAAATGGATCAGTACCTGGTCAGTGCACCAGTACCAGGCGGCCTGGATAGTAAGACCAAAGATCAGGCCAGGCCAGGGCAGATCGCCGGTGAGGGGGTCTCTAAAGATGTGGAATGAGTCTGCACGAGGAGTGTAGCACTTTTCACTTATGTTCGCTATCACCACTGATGGGATCGCAGTCATGTATCGGTCTTTGAAGTTCTCATAGCCTCCCACCTCATTGAACGCTGCAAGAAAACGGTTGATGTTGAAGCAAGTCATTGAGTGTTGTCCAAAGTGTTTAAATCACAAAAATATGAACAGACGTACCAAAACCCATAAGAATGAATGATCCCACAACCATGATGATGGTCTGCAGGGTGTCTGTGTAGATGACTGCAGCTAGACCACCTGTAGAAGAAACCGTGAAGGTTTATCAATAAAAATCAACTGAGAAACTGAAAAGGAAGGGAAAATTATGTTTGCAGAGATGTACTCTTGGCATAATGTTGGTTAAATTTTTTTTTTACAATTATAACATTGTCTAGAAACTTAAATACATGAGAGTGTATACATCTTAATCATTATTTTCAGAATGAAATATATATATATATATATATATATATATATAGACATATACATATAGACACACACACTCACACACACACACACACACACACACTTTTACAACCTGCTGTAATTGTAAAAAAAAACAGTAATTGCAAAAATATATATAATATTATCTACAGCCACTTACTTTAAGAGAGAATACTTTCATAGCACATTTTAAAAGTGTACTTTTGTAATAATTAATTTTTTACTTTAAAGTTTAAAATTATTTTTTAATAATCTTTTGTCGTTTTTTAAAGAAGTACACTTATTTTTGTGTTGACTAACATACTAAAGCCCATGTAAAGTACTTGATTATAATTTTAGTGTGATATCCCATGTTACATTTTTAATATATATTTATAATTTATTCATATTATATTCTTTAAATGTATTACATTTCATCATTACTAATTACAAATAAATCTAAATACACGACATTGCAATTAACATGCACTTAAGTCTATTCTTAATCGCAATATTATATTACTACAGTGTATTATTTCCATAATAAGATTTTTTAAACGTATATGTACTTCTTTTTCACAAGGGTGAACTAAACTTGCCTTGTCATAAAATATCATATTGTCTGATATTTTAACAGACTCGATGGTCTGCAGGGGTACTCTTTGATATCATTTCCTATTTTATGTTTTTTTTTTCTGCACATTTTTACATGTTGGTCGCACCACATGACTGTGGATTGGCTTACAAATGTTTTTCAAATATTAATAAGCAGTAAAAGAGTTTAGTGAAGAGAGAGAGAGATTTCTCATTAAAAATAATGAAATATATTAATATATTAAATTGCTTAAGGTTTTCTTTTCAAGAATTTCATTATTTTTCTCTACTACAATATCAGGACAGTTATATTGGCTTGACATTTTTGACTTAATGCTCTCTCTCTCTCTCAAAAAATAAAAATCTAAATGAATTTTAATTCTAGAAATTGTTTGTGAGGCAGTGCTCTATTAATATTCCTTGGGTCTCTAAAGCCTTAGCAACTGCAGTTTATCAGTCACAGAAGCACGCAAACACTCTCAGCCACAGCTCATGTAAACATTTACAGCTGGTAGGATGATTTCTGATTTCTTACAGTTTATTGTTGGGCTGTTTTGTTCCTGAGATAAATATATTACACAACAGAGCATGGGGATGACAGAAGTTTAAAGTGGCAGTGCATTATAGATTTCCTTGCCCAGGCTTATCAGCTATTGTCAGTACATGCAATTACCCATAACACATACACATCACGCTACAATAAGCAGCCCACTGCATGGTCCTACAACCCTGGACTTCACTCTCTGTTGTAGTATAAACTTCAGAGTCCATATAAAAATCAACTTCACTACTATTTTATATATGACCACTACATATATATACAGTATATATTAGGGAGAGCGAACCACTGATGTAGAATATGTAACAGTGCAGTGTGTCAGTTTAAAGTATGCAGTATTTCAGTCAACAGACCTGTTACTGTGTAAAGAGCCGTAATGAGCAGCAAAATAATCACGGCCAGGTAAATGTTTAGTCCCAGAGCCTGGTTGATGAAAATGGCTCCTGCAAACATGTCCGCCTGAGAGGTGAAAAATGGAAGAATAAAAAAAGGAGGTGTAACGCAAATGTTCGAACTGTTTCAAAACAAGGTCTTTATCTTTGAAATCTAAACCCATTTTAGTCTGACTGCATATGGCAATAAAAGGTATTTCCACATGGACATCACAGCCATTTCAAATAGACTGTCAGGACTACAACCAGTGTTTAGTGAAGATCTGATTTAAAGAGGGCTGGACAGACAGCAAAAAATATCAAAATGAATTTAAATTCAGAAATAAGGACCTTGTCATTTTTTTAAATGACAAATAGCCAATGTAGCCTCTCATGATTGGTCAAAAAAACTGCATTCATAATAATGATAAATTAACTATCAAAATGCTGTTTAAAATCACTTTCGATTGAGCGTAGCATGTAACACTACTGATGGTATGTCAAAGTATCATAAGTATTGTATGGCAGCTGCCTCTCAAAGTACCATGCAATTACCATGTGATACCAGTACTTTTTTGTATGGGTTGACACAGATTCTGGACTCACAGAGATTTTGGTGAAAACATAAAGAAACAGGGAGAGCACGGACAGGTAGATCCGGATCCGCTGCCCACCAAAGCGTTTCTTCAGGTACTCTGGCATGGTCACGACCTGCAGATGCAAAGAGAATAAAGGGTCATAAAAATGATACCGCAGAGATAAAGTGGTCGACACACTCATGTTGTGTAAGTCAGCAATATTTGAAAGGTTTGTTCTGCAATGCCGGTTGGAGAGGAAGAAATGTAAGCATACCCCAGCCTTTATGTAGATGGGCACGAAGAGCCATCCCAGAATAATCACAACAACAAGAGCCTGAGGAAAAAAATAAAAAGAGACCATCGGTTTGATATTTTCTACGCATATTCTCATCAGTGTTGTTATTGCTAACTAAAACTATGAAAAATTATTTTTGTTAATTAAAGGGGTCATATGATGCGATTTCAAGGTTTCCTTTCGGGGCATAGAGGACCTACAATAATGTACAGTATTTGAAAAATAATGTGTTTTTTGAACATTAAAGCATGTCAACATATTCTGTTATACCAAATACACAAAATAATTATCTTTAAAAAAGCATCATATGACCCCTTTAATTAAAATAAGGCTGAAATACTATAAAATATAAATAAATAAAGATGAAAAACTTGATAAAAAAGTTAATAATACTAAAATAACTTTAAGATAAATCTTAAAATGTTTTAATTGGTTCTTTAATATCTTACTACTAATAATAATAATACATAGTATGTTTGTATCATTCTAATCTAATAAATAATTATAATTTTGCTTTTATTCTACTGAAAAGCAAAAATAAAATAATTAAAAATCTGTTCTGTATATTGGACATTTTTATGATTATATTTATAAAAATACAATATTGTCAATCTCTAGTCGCAATATAGTTCACTTAAATGCAAAATGTAGAATAATATATATTTTTTTTCCATAGTCATGAATAGTAGGCTAAAACATAAAATCCAGCCACACATCAAAATGATTGAATATCAAAAATGTAATTTTAAGGCATTTTTAACATACGTTCCACTCAAACCCCCCGATAGCAATACCAGCAGCTGCTCCAGTTCCTGCTATTCCCACAAAATGCCCACTTCCGATGTTACTTGCAAAGAGAGAGGCTCCAATCTAGAAAAAAGTTGAACATTTTTTAAAGCAATTTGACTAAGATTTGCTTCATATTATATCTACTAATATACAAACATTTGATATTCTGTATCAGGGTTTAAACTGAAGTGAAATCTGAATCTAAGTAATCAGCTACATTTTTGAACGTCAGAAAGGTTACAAAAGTGTAAGTCTTCAGCATAGGATTGTGGGAACTGTATTGCTTCAGAACATATTAACTCTGTCTATTGTTTGACTATATGTGGCAATACAATCACCATAATGATAAGCTATAACAACCGCTTCTTCTGCACAGCTTGAGGTGTAATTCAAACAATAACGAATGCAACTATGAACTTTGTAATAACAAATAAAAACCTTAAAAAATGTGGTATTAGGTGATAACTTTAACATGGACCACAGCATGTCAGCTCCATAAAAACTGCATGAGCAAAGCATATCAGTATTTTCAGCTGTGAATTGTGAGTCGCATCTGGCATCAGTGCATAATGGCCCCATAAAAGTTATCATTCACCCATGATATCAAGGTTCTGAAACGGAGAGGCAGTTAGGGTCATTATCATGCCATATCTGTGATCATGTGAAATCACTGGTCATGCTATTGATAGATACATAATCAGCTTCTACTTTTATGGCCGTTTCAGTCTTTCTTAGCACATTACGACAGAAATTCTCCACATTTAGCACACTAAATGATTGATCACTATTGATGTTGTATTTGATCAAGCGGTGTCATTTTGTCGATGTCCATAACATTTTGAGTACAAAACAAAATGCTTTTAAGGTTTAAAGCACGGTCATCCTCAATTTTGGTCCATTTACTTACTGGCCACCACACCATACTCCTGCCAGCCAGGAAAAAGCCTCCCACTGTGGCTCGATTGGTCCGTACCATTGCCTTTGGACAGAAAGAGCCATTCAATTCAGCATATATACAGTCCCAGCCACTTAGAATGTTAGACAAAATTATATGTGACTTTATATAAGGTGTCATACCTGCAGGATCAGACACATTTCATAATAACACATCACATTTGGGGACTCAAAGGTTGATGGATTGGTTTTCAATGGCTTTGTTTGTTGTTCGATTAAATATGTTTGAATTTTCTCAAGAGGGTTTAAAATGATATGGATTTCAGATGGGCAAATACATACAGAAAAATATGGTGTTATCAAAAAATCCCAGAAATGTCAATGCCCTCAATAAGACTAATTAAGATACATTAAGACAATATAAAATTTTATATATTTATATTGTATATATATATTTTTTTTGTTTGTTTTTTTTGAAAAAGTAATTTTTCTAAAGGATTTTAGAATTTTTTTCGAATGCAAAAATGCATTATATATTTTATCTGAAAAAAATCTGTTTTTCTAAAGGAAAAAACCAAACAACTTGAAAAACTGCTTTATATTATATGTTGGGTAAACTCTATTATAAGGACCAATTCTCCCTATTAACTTGCTGCTTATTAGCATGCATATTACTAGTATATTGGCTGTTTATTAGTACTTATAAAGCACATATTAATGCCTTATTCTGCATGACATATTTTAGCTCTCTTAATCTTACCCCATACCTAAACTTAACAACTACCTTATTAACTATTAATAAGTAGCAAATTAGGAGTTTATTGAGGGAAAACTCTTAATTAATAGTGAATATGTGTTCCCTATTCTAAATTGTTAGAGGGTTTTGGCTTTTTTTTTTGCAAAGGAACTTGCAAAATGCATTAGATTAATTATATTATATTATATTATATTATATTATATTATATTATATTATATTATATTATATTATATTATATTATATTATATTATATTATATTATATTATATTATATTATATTATATTATATTATATTATATTATATTATATTATATTATATTATATTATATTATATTATATTATATTATATTATATTATATTATATTATATTATATTATATTATATTATATTATATTATATTATATTATATTATATTATATTATATTATAACTCTCTGCTAAATCCGTCACCATCTCATTCTGTCTTCAGGCTTATCTCAAACAGCCATTGTACAATTATATGTGGACACAAGGTTAACAATTCACAAGTCTGTCAATGGTAGAAAAATCTTTTACAGGTGAATAGAAACTATTGACCACTTACCCATACTCCCACAGCTAGAACCACCAGAAAATATATAACAATCACTGAGATGTCCGCTGGATTGTTAACATATATGGTGACGTTTTTTCTGTTCTCATTGCGAACCCAAGAGAATCCAAAATAATCTTCATCCATTTTGCTGATGTTTGAAGGGCCAGTGGAGCAGCACACTGCGTCCCTCTCTGACACAACGGTAAAGACACCTGGATCACACGCTCACCTGCAGGTGTATGAACGTATCTGTGTGCGCACACATTCACTTATATGTGTGCGTATAGAGATGGGTGTGACCTTCTCAGAGTTAATTATAAAAGTGTTTTGTGTCTTAGAGCTGTCAAAAATCTGAGATTTGAGAATCATTAATGATCAACTTATATAGCAGGAAGTATGAGACTGGGTACTTGAAAAGAGTAAGAGGACATTTCAGCAGCCTCATCACCTGCGTCTTAATTATTGGGTTTCACTGAGTCAACTATGTCAAGTAAAGATCTACTTCTCAAATCTATGGTCCAGACATTAGTGTATATACTGTAACATTGGTTATAAGGACACCCTTATGTTTTAAGTGGCACTGCAGCTTGAACACAAAAGAAAGTGAAAATGTCTGATCAAATGACAACAACCCTTACAAATTTAGGGTTCATACTCTACAGGAGCATTTAATGGACATCCTAAAGCGATTCTATTGGCTGAGAAACTTGGTTACTCTGCTCATTGCCTGATTTTACCAAAAACTGCTTTACAGTGTATTTATTCTTAATCATGAAAACACGTTAATGCATATAATTTTATCATATTTTTCTAACTGCATAGCATATTAAATTACCAAAGCTAAAAATTGTGAAATTTAACATTTCACGCTTTAGTGTGCAAGCTAACAGTTTACCTTGCTAGCTTAGCATAGCACTAATGAGTTAAGGAAGGCTGTTTTGATTAGCTAGAACAAGATATTATTCTGCATTTTTGATTGAGGAAGGGGGATAGAATCGTTCATGACATTAGAAACAGGTTTTTATGAGCCAATCACATGAGCTGCACATGCCATGTTACTTTAATCTTGACGTTACACGTCACGTCAAGATTAAAAGCCCTGTCATATTAGGACATAAAAAAGTCCACTGTCTACTGTCAAGAGTGTAGCAATGTATGAAGCACAGGTTACACAAACCAAGCAGCTTTCTGTTGGTCAACAAGGCACATCTGCATGAAAAACTTTACTCCAGTGCGTAATTTGCACTGGGAAATCACTCACCCTTATGTGAAATTATGAGCTCTATGAGCGGAGGCCTCAACATGACAACTCTCTAAAACGAGAGGAGGCCTAACTACGCCCCACACTCAGGACATCCTGTAAGGAGGCTCACAGAGAGCCTACAACTCACAGATGCTGTCCTAGAGGAGGCCTCAATTAAGTTAACTCTCTGTAGCGAGAGGAGGCCTGACGACGCTCGCAGTAGATGGCCAAGCTCAAGGAGTGGAGGCCTCAGCATGATGACTCTCTGAAACGAGAGGAGGCCTAACTATGCCCCATGCTCAGGACATCTTGTAAGAAGGCTCACAGAGAGCCTACAACTCACAGATGCCGTCCTAGCAGATCTCTGGCGAGCGGAGGGCTCAGTGTAGATAACTCTCTGTAGTAAGCGGAGGCCTGACGACACTCACAGTAGATGGCCGAGCTCTAGGTGCAGAGGCCTCAGCATAATGACTCTCTAAATCGAGAGGAGGCCTAACTACACCCCACACATAGGATACCGTGCAAGGATGCTCACAGAGAGCCTACAACCTGCAAAAAGATGTCCTAGTGGAGCTCTGGTGAGCGGAGGCCTCAATAAAGATAACTCTCCGTATAGTGAGAGGAGGCCTGATGATGCTCACAGTAGCCAAGAAGGCTCAACAATAGCCTAACAACTTAAAATAACCATTGAAATGACTGGATTTTGCCTTGAAGAGCAACAGTAAATGTGATCATAAGACCCAAGACCTTATAGCAACTACTGTTTCTACAGCCAGCAAATAAATAAATCAATAAATAAATAAATCATAAACATAATATAATAAAACTTTTTTGCAATTGCAACCTTTTTGCAAATACACAGCTATTTTGCATGTCTGTCAGTGGAGAAATAGTTATGGCATGATCAGGAGCTAACAGGAGATAACAGGAACATCAGCCAAATCCTGACCCCTTAAATCCTGGAAGAGTTTTTTTTTTTTTTTACTTTTGACCACATGACAAAGTGTAACATTCATAAAAAATTAAATTAAAAAAAACCTTTGAATTTATCCTCCACATACTTGCAACGTACCAACCCCATCGGAATCAATGGATTTTGTAGCACTTTTAGCCAATGTAAACATGATTATTAGGCTTGAATGTAAGATTTATTAATGACTAAAACAGAGCAATAGCCATTGAGATTGTTGAAACGTCATTCTTGGGTGTATCAACAAGTTAACTGCCTGAATTTTTGCCACTGTCTTTTAGTTCATGTGATAACCAAGTTATTCTTTAGAGACCTGCTACAACACACTGTGTGGCTGAAGGATCAATCATTAACCGATCATGGCTTGAACATTTTCAGGTTCAGATAGTAGATGCATGCATGTCTTGTTGGTTATACCATGATACCTCTTGTTCAACAGCCAAATCTCAATGTCTATGAAATCTAAAAGGAAAATTGCCCTATTTTCATTGTCTTCTTCTCTCTTTTAGTCCAGACATTGATGGATTACTTTTAAAGGTGATCAGATTTAAGTTATAAAACTGATCACATGGCACAAGGTCTGGTCTTTGGCTTTATCAACTCCTCAGCAATCCCTCTGAAATACCCAAGAGTCATATCTCATCACGGCCGTGAACGTTTATCTTTAAGATGTAAGGTCTTATGGTCATAAACACCTGACCTTCTGCACGACCGTCATCTTATTCACTTAACTACTATTATAAATCGATCATACTATGTAACTCCTGTATATCACTATTTATGGTCTAGTTAAAGGCATCTATGCCAGAACATTTATATAATCAAAAAGAGCAAGATTACATTGACCAAAGAGCTGGTGACTAACTGGTTTCTAAGAAACTAAACCAAGATATTAAGCATTCTAATGAATGCTATCATAATCAGAAGTGACTATGTTCTTAATGCACATTCTTGGTCTTATTGTGCACAATTCATCAGTGCACATTATTGGGAAAAAAGATTAATAGCAAACTTCCATCAGCAAGCTCTGCTCCGAAACAACTTTCCTATGCAGATGATGTCACGTTGTACCGTGATAATGCTCGGAAGAGGAAAGGCAGGATCCAAAAGCTAGCAGTGAAAGGTTTATTTAAAAAAACAAAAGGTAATCCTGGGCATAAACGGGTAACAAGAAAACAGGAAGAACCAGGCAGAGGACAACACACTACATCTAGGCAAAGCCAACAACTGTCAAAGACTAAGGCTAACACAGGGGTATATATACACAGGTTAACAAGGAGGTGGAGCCAATCAATCACCTAGACAACTAACAAGGGGGAACCATGAAGACAAACAAGCAGGCAAAGGAACAAGAGGAACACAGGAACAAGGGGAACACAGAAAACATTTCAACATAAATGTCCTTGAACAAGATACACAAGACAGGTATCATAACACACGTATGAATACGTTGGTTTCATGTGGTTCTGAAAAACTTCATATAATTTAAAAAATGTTATGTGGTGTAACCATCAAGTAAAAGTGCCAAACTTTCCTTACATCATGGATACATGTGAGTAGACACGTCTTAATCATCATCATTATTATTATATAGCATAGCATTGAAACCCTATTGTAACTGTTCGAATTTTTATAATTTATTATTAATTTCCTGCCATAAAACTGATTGTGCAGACCAAACTGTAAGGCCTAGAGACTTGAAACTTGGCCAGATGGTAGAGCTCAATTTGGGGAGAGACCCAAGTAGATATAACTGCAGACCGGAGATCTCCAAAATGGGGCGTGAACTCCAAAAGTGGGCAGAACCTCCAAAATGGGGCGGGGTCTCCTCGCTCAAAGACTTTCACCATTGGCTCTGGCTCCAGCCAATTGTTATTGACTTACATTTCAAAATAAAACTTTATAAATTAAACATTGTTTCTAGTTGATCTAAAATAAAATATGCTATATAAGTAAATATTCTCCGTGAGAGCAGAGCCCAAAGCTCGTGGCCAGTGTTGTTCGGACTGGAGTTTGAACCTCTGCTTCATGATATAAACGATATAAACGGGAATCACCCACAAGCTCTCCCACGAGCCGTCAGCGCAGGGGAAAGATTTTACTCTTCTCACTGGTTAAGGTTAGGGTCAGGTGTGGGGTAGGTTTAGGGGTTAGCATTTTTTGTAGCATAGTGTAGGAAATCAACACTTTAATTGACAGCCAATAAAATCTTTAGAATCAGCTGTGGGGCGGAGTTTGCACTGAAGTGGATTGGGGGGAAAAAATTGCGCATGCGTGTCATGTGCCTGTCTGTCAATGGGAGGAAGCCACGCCCTATTTTGGAGCTCCCACCCCGTTTTGGAGTTCCCGCCCCCATTTGGAGATCTCCGGGCTGCAGTTATACCTTTCTCGAGAGACTGGCAAAGACTCACTCCAACTGGCCAATAGGGGGCACTACAGCGATCAAAAACGCAAAATCGCTCATAACTCCTAGACTGTCTTTTATCACTGGAATCCTTGGCTCAAGCCAAACAAAATGGCTATCTCTGATTTAATTTCCAGTATGCAAATTTTTCCGCCATTTTGAATTTTGTCCAAAACCTAATTTTGTGAACTAGTCCTAGGTTTTTCACCCGATTGGAACCAAACTGGTCCAGAAACTTTCTCTAGAGAGTGAATATGCCTGTAGCTCTTGAACGGAATGAGATATCTTCACCATACTCGGAACACTTATGTATGATCTCAATCTGAGGTCACATGTCAAAAATTGCGGCGTTTGGCCACTAGGCGGCGATATAAGAGTAAAAAAAACATAGAAATGGCTATAACTACTCAACCGTCTAATCGATTTGAACATTTCCATGCACTGTCTTTGTACAAAGTGCCATAAGTGACGATGAGGACATTTGCATTTCTCAAAAAACATGGCTGCCATTGGCCATTTAAGTTCAAGCACCTATTAGACAAGGTTAACGAAGGCTGATCAGAACAAAACTCAGTGGGCCTGTTTTTCTCCTGGCCAGATGTCTGT